TCTTTCTCAGAAAGTGTATGGTAGACGTGTAGACACGTTCTGATGGCCATCTCTCCCGAATGGGGGTTGGGTGGAGGGGGTATATATAGCCTCCACACAAAATCTAACTGTTACACACAATTTACCAAACTCGTTGGGGTCGAATCATGAAACTCGGTCAGACCGATTTAGTTCAAAATGTGAGCGTTAGGCTTTTCGGTGGGACCAACATGTCAACTCGGGGGGGGGGGGACCGATTTCATTAGGGTTAGGGCATAATGTAATCTCGGTGAGACCGATCACATAAACTCGGTGGGACCGATTTCTGTAATAAACAAATAGAGAGTTGGTCAGGCAAACTCGAACCGATCGCTCATTCCGGTGAGACCGAAACATTACGAAAAGGAAATAGAGAGTTTGCATTGCGAACTCGGTGGGACCGATCGCTCATCTCGGTTAGACCGAAACGTGACAAAGGGAAACAGAGAGTTTGCAATCCCATCTTGGTGAGACCGAGATCCCTATCGGTGAGACCGAACTGATTAGGGTTTCTGGCAATGGCTATGTCAAATGAACTCGATGGCACCGGATAGTTCAAATCGGTGAGGCCGAGTTTGACTTTTGGTTTGGGACATATGTGGATATGAGAAAGTGGTTGAGGGCTTTTGGAGCATATCACTAAGCATTTTGAGCAAGCAAGCCATTAAGCAACACCTCATACCCTTTTAATAGTATTGGCTTTTCCTATGGACTCAATGTGATCTTGGATTACTAAAATGAAAAGGTAGAGTTTTGAGCTTGAGCTAATATGTGTCCTTAGCATTTTGAGGGGTCCACATTCCTAGTCCATGCCATGCCAATCATTGAACTTGCTGAAATGATCATCTTGAAAGAGCATTAGTTCAATGAGCTTTATGTTGTTAGGAATTACCAAAACCACCCAGGGATAGTTGCACTTTCACGAGTGGAGATGCTCTCAGAGCATTTTCCCGGGGCTGCATTGCCTGCACGACACACAACATGAATAGCCGGTATGCTTAGAGCATTTACAATCGGGTGCCTCGAATCGGTCTTAAACATACAGGCAGATGGTTCTTCGCTGACTAACCGGTACCTCTCATATTTAGCCTAAATCTGGAGCGGATATGAGGTGGCCTAGGCATGTCCACCACATCAGACTGATGACCGGGTCCCACACGTACTCGCCTAGAAACCCAACGGTCTGACAGGTGTCTCCTCCAGTGTTGGTGTGAATGCCGCGCGGCGCTACTCCGGCTTGCCGCCGAGGGCCAAGGTCCGAGTATTTAAGCTGGACGTCATCCCTCAACCCTAGGCAAATCCCATTCCTCTTTCTCTCTCTATGCCACCAGCCCGAGCACATCCACTTATGTCCCTTTCCACCTCCTCTTCCCTCGTCGTCCGCCTCTGCCTTGCCCCGACAAAACAAGGCCACCTACGCTATGCTACGTCGGGCGGAGTTTCCATATGCTCGAGGAGATCTGGGTTAGGCGCGCCACCCGGATTGCAGCGGGACTACATCTAGACTCGCTGGAGATGGAGGAGGAGGAGCACCAGCCGAAGCCCATGGAGGGGGCGGATCCGATGGAAGAGGACACGACATAGCCGGAGGAGGAGCCGCAACTAGTTGCGGGCTTCGGCATGGAGGACACCATGGTGGAGTTTGAGCTCGCCCAAGCGGCAGAGATGACGAAGTAGATCGCCATTCTGGAATCCATCCAGCACGAGAATTTGTGGAGGCCAACCGGTGGTTCATCTGGCAAGAATGGGCGGAGACCGACGCGCTTTTCCTCGAACTAGAGGTGGAGGCCGATGTGGAGGAGCCGTAGGAGCTAGAGTTGCGGTTGCCGCCCATGTACCTGGAGCCGGGCATGTAGACCGTGAATGTCTCCGATGAGGAGTAGGGTAGGGTAGCTTTTAGTAGATCTACGTAGTATATAGGTTCTCCTCTTTTGCATGGCTTGTACGAATTTAAGATTTCGAGTATGAGGTATTCAGATGCAGAGAGGAAATTTTGAGGGCTGGCCGGTCACTGCCCGCGGGTGTGCCCAGGTGCGTTCGTGGGCGTTTGAGAGCCTGGATTTGGTGTCCATGGGTGTAGATGCTCTCATGTCGCAAAAGTTAGGGAGCTTTTAATCCAGGGGTAGAGGTCACTGTTGGGAAACGTTGCACGAAAAACAAAAAATTCTACGCACACGCAAGATCTATCCATGGAGATGCATAGCTACGAGAGGGGGAGAGCATCTACATACCCTTGTAGATCGCTAAGCGGAAGTGTTTATCAATGCGGTTGATGTAGTCGTACACCTTCACTATCCGTTCCGATCAAGCACCGAACGTACGGCACCTCCGCGTTCAGCACACGTTCATCTCAATGACGTCCTTGCCTTCTTGGTCGAGTAAGAGGGGTGAAGTAGTAGATGAGTTCCAACAGCACGACGGCATGGTGACGGTGGTGGTGAAACTATTTTCGTAGGGCTTCGCCAAGCACAAGGGATTTAAAGCGGAGGATGAACTAGAGGGAGAGGGGGCGCCGGCACACGGCTTGGTGAATCATGGTGTGTGGCGCCCCCTCCCCTCCTCTCATACATATAGGTGGAGGGGGCAACCTAGGATGCGCCCCAAGGGGGGCCGGCGGCTGCTCTAGGGTGCCTGCCAAGCCCCCCCCCCCTTCCATACTTGGCGTGTGGGAGGAAGGAAAGGGGGGCCAGCGGCCCCTAGGGCGCCTCCCCTTCCTTCTTCCTTGCATGGAGAAAGGCAGGAGGGGCTGACCCCTCCTTCTTCCTTCCTAGGGTCGGCGGCTAGGAGGTGGGGCGCACCAGCCCCCTTTGTGGGCTGGTGTGCTCCCCTTCTTTTGGCCTGTTAGGCCCAACAACTCCCCCTGGCCTTCCGGAAACCCTTCCGGTGATCCGATAATTATCCGGTGTATTCCGGAACCCATTCGGAGACCGAATACTATCATCCTATATATCAATCTTTACCTCATCATGTCCGTGATCTCATCCGGGACTTCGGACAACATTTGGTCACCAGCATACATAACTCATATAGTACTATATCGTCAACGAATGTTAAGCATGCGGACCATACGGGTTCGAGAATGATGTAGACATGACCGAGACGCTTCTCCGATCAATAACCAATAGCGGGACCTGGATGCCCATATTGGTTCCTACATATTCTATGAAGATCTTTGTCGGTCGAACCTTTATGACAACACACTTAGTTCCCTCTGTCCGTCGGTATGTTACTTGACTGAGATTTGGTCGTCGGTATCTTCATACCTAGTTAAATCTTGTTACCCGCAAGTATCTTTACTCGTTCCATAATACATCATCTTGTCACTAACTCCTCAATCACTTTGCTTGCAAGCTTCTTGTGATGTTGTATCACCGAGAGGGCCCAGAGATACCTTTCCATCATACGGAATGACAAATCCCAATCCCGATCCATGCCAACTCAATAGGCACCTTTGAAGATACCTGTAGAGCACCTTTATGATCACCTAGTTACAAAGTGATGTTTGATACACACAAGGCATTCCTCCGGAGTCTGGGACTTGCATGATCTCATGGTCGAAGGAACATGTATTTGACATTAAGAAAGCATTAGCAATAAAAATGAACGATCATATGCTATGCTAACAGATGGGTCTTGTCCATCACATCATTCTCCTGATGACAAGATCCCGTTATCAAACGACAACTCATGTCTATGATCAGGAAACCTTAACCATCTTTTGATCAACGAGCTAGTCTAGTAGCGGCTTACTAGGGACTTGGTATTTGTTTATGTATTCACACGTGTATTTAAGTTTCTGATCAATACAATTATAGCATGAACAATAAACCTTTATCATGATTGAGGAAATATAATAATAACCACTTTATTATTGCCTCTAGGGTATATTTCCAACTATCATCTCCAACACGGACCCTCAAATCATCCGCATCCGCCACACTGATTGATCCGGACCCATTTTGTAAATCATAAGAAAACACGGGAGGGGAAGGGCTTTATGGGTGTCTGGATTGACGCCTCGTAGGACTTGGACACCCCCAACCCACTCAAATCCCCTTTTCCGGCCACTTTTCCTCCACTCTGTCCCTGCTCCCCCTTACTTTGCATCCACACCCTCCACGTCCGTCGTCGCCACTATACCTCTCCGACCGTCGACCAAGCATGGTAGGACGTCTGTAGCTCCCACCAACGTGCATGTCCGGTTTGGACTACGTCGTTGTCCACTCAGGTTCCCTCCGCAGCCAGGTACCCTTCGTCCCATGCCGACGATGTCCATGGCGGACACCACGCCCAACAAGTGTTCGGTCAAATGTCATTGAGATGTTTTGTTGAACTTCTTTTTATTTTCTAGAATAAAGCACGATGGAGGGGTTCGGTGATTGATGATGAGTTGTTGTGCGATGCCTGGTTGATCGTATCTGTGGACTTTGTTGGCAAGAACTCAAGGGGCTCGATCTTTTTGGCAGCACGTGTATGCTTCGTTTCATGCGTAAAAGAACTTCATGCCCTACGACATGCACATCATCTATCAACGCGATGTGAAGTCGATATCGCATCGATTGTACATCATCTGCAACCCGTCATGAAGTTTTGCCGTCCGGTTGCACGAGGGAGACAATGTGGTCATCAGGCTTGACTACCATGGAGATTGAAAGTTTTGCTTCTTGTTGCTCTACATGTTGGTTAATTCTTTCATTTACACATTGTTGCTCTATATGTTGTATAGCCTGCACATATTGTCTTGAGGTGCTATAGGACAGCATATGTCGGCTCTCATTCTAGTATTGCTAGTGAATTCGAAAAACTTGTTAAACATCCAGTTACCTCGAATGTAATATTTACATTTGAATTATTGTTGTACTAGGGATATTTACATGTTATTTATTGATGAATTGTACTATTTTCTATAATTATTTCGAGCACTGTGATTAGAAAAAAAATAGAGCTGAAAATTTTAGGGGACAGGGTCGGATGGCCGGCTATTACGTCACTGTCCGCGGACAGATACTGCGTCCGTTTTGAAGGCCAACGTTGGAGATGTCCTGGCAATGTGAATGAGACCAAGTTAGAATCCAGCTTGCTATGTTTTAGCTACCCTGGATCAAATTAACATGAGCAGATAATTACGGATTAATTTAGTAGTAGAATTTTTTTTGGCCCCTGTTCCTACGGATGGACAATTATTTAGTTGTTAATAAAAACATTTTAAAAAAATATAATAAGTATCAAATGTCAGGTACTACGAGCACATGACAAACCCGAACATTTTTGATAACAAGTTTGAAGACACGATGATAACAATTTTATTTGCCAAGCATGCCAATTTTCATGCTTTAGTTATTTTTTGACATGAAATTACCATGCTTGCCAACTAACTTACATCTTCGTGTCACTAAATTTGCCATAGAAAATGTTTGAATTTGTCATGTGCTCATACCTGACGTTCGGTATTTATTATTTGCGTTAAAGAAACGGAACAAGTAGGAAATTCTTTGTCATCTATTTCCACATGGAATTCCGTAACAACCAGCAGTTGAGAAGCACACAGATGAAACCAGAAAACGGCCAACGACATTGGACACATGCCAACCACGGTGCATCAGGGCAGTACCATCTGGAGCAGCATCTCGTTCCACGCGTCGATCGGGCCCGGCAGGCACCAGTGCACGCAGTCCTTATACAGGGTCACGTTCTCGTGCGCCCAGTGCCCGTACCGGCTCGGGTGGCCGTCCGGCCGGAGCAGCATCGCCGCCGTGGTGTCCATGAGCACCAGCCTCGCGCCTCCCCCTCCTCTCCTCCTGGCCGCCTCCTCCGCCTGCGCGAACTCCTCCACCTGCGCCGTGTGGAAGTCGAGGCTCAGCCCGGCCATGCGCGTCTCGTTCGCCGCGTACGGCCGCGTCCGCCGGCAGTCGCCGCCCTTGTTCCACTCCCCGCCCTCGAAGTGCGTCGGCGACACCGTCCGCACGATCGCCGTCCCGTTGAAGCCCGGGTGGCTCGTGACCGCCCGCAGCACCGTGCGGAACGCCACCCGCTGCGAGTGCCGCAGCGTGAGGTCCGGCACGCCCGGGACGAGGCAGTAGTGGCAGGCGACGAGGCGGCCGGACTCGTAGAACAGGGACGGCCGCGTGAACCAGTTCGCGCCCGAGAGGACGAGGTAGTCGGCGCCCGCCACGCCGGGCAGCCAGGCGTCGTCCGGCTCGTCGAGGTAGATATTCCACAGCCGACCGCTGCCGTAGTCGGCGTCGGACTGGTTCGCCTTGACGAGGAACGGCGACCAGAAGGTGGAGATGGTGAAGTTGTAAGACTCGTAGTACAATGTCCTGAATTCTTGGTTTTTCGTCGTGGAAATGTCTTTGGGGTACTCCAGCTGCAATTAAAAAAATTGAATCAAAATCAAGTCCCTCTCTCTAATCATCGAAATGTGGATCATGCATTCTGTAGATCAGTAATTTTTGGCAATAATCAGTGGACGGAAATTGAGAGTACTATCAGCTAACTGAACTGATTATTAGTATTACCTTGGACAAGAGGCACATGAGGGACTGCATGTGGTTCCTGGCGAGCGAGTCCCCGACGAAGGCCATGGAGCGGCCCCTGACGGCGTCGAAGAAGGCCGCCGCGTCGAACCGGGGGAGCTCGCACTGCGCCGGCCGCCAGCGCCACCTAAGGAAGCCGAGGTCGGGGCGGCCGTACTTCATGCAGTTCTGGTGCTCCTGGATCAGCGGGCAGGTCCGGTTCGTGTAGTACGGCTCGCCGCCGTCATCCGGCACCCACTCGCCCCGGAAAATGTCGCATCCCTTGGGCACCCGGGCGACGGCAGGACGCCCGGGCTCGAGCCGCGGCGACCCCGACGAGGAAACGGAGGCGAACCCGGACCTGTAGGTGTCGAGGAGCGAGCGTTGCTGGCGCGCGGCGAGCAGGAAGAGGACGAAGAGGAAGAGCGCCGGGACGGACACCGCGGTCGGGCTGGCGAGCTGGAGCTTCTGCATCCGCCGGTTCGGGGATCTGCCTTGCTACAATGGCCAGAAGCGGCGGCTGGCTAGCTGCAGGGAGAGCGAGTGCACGGAGGGGGAGTGGGTGAGTGACGAGCTCGCTAGCTAGCGCTGCGAGTAGACAATGGCGAACGCGGTACCTGCTCTGCTCGGCTTGTCGTGGGGCAGGCTGGTCGCGTAGTTTTTTACGGTTGTGAGGCGTGTTGTTAATTGTCTGTGGCGCGCATGTGACGGTACGTCAGCTTTGGTTTGATGGGAAGGGCCGGGGCGGGCCGGGCCCTTGCCTGCGCTTTATTTTGAACCGCGCGTACTGGGCCCGCTGAGCGACCGGACCATCACGTGACACTTTGTCGAGCGGGATAATGCTGTCACTTGGGCAACAGCAGCAATGCAGCATGTTCCCTCAAAAAAAAAAAAAAAAAGCAATGCAGCATGCGAGCAATCCATTGTTTCCCCGTGGCCGTGAGAGCACTCGAGAACTGAAGTGTCGTAACACAAGGGAAGGGCGGAGAGCGCGCGCGTATGGTATGATGAGGTGCCGTGTGCGTGTGCTGTGACACCTTGGTATGAATGTGTCACGTAAAGGGGAGCAGCCCCACCGCCGTCTTCGCCCAGGCACAATGAGAGACCCAGCACCGGCGGCCGGTGATGATCTGAAGCGCATGCCACCGGCGGCATCGGCCGGGATGTGGGCTGTTGTGTTGTGTGCGAAGCGCCAAATCCGTGGGATGTCCGTTGACGGTTGACCTTCGGCTGCAAGTTGAAGAACGAACCTGACCTCCGCCTCTGCTTCTTCCTTTTTGATAAGCCGACATGTTAGAGCATCTACAGCAGTATTTTGACAAATCTGATCCTTAAAACATTCGTGGACACGTCTGATTACATCTCAATAATGGATTTCACAACTAGATATCCGGCTTATGGGACTAAAGATGCCGCCGTCTCCCATGCCCTACTCTTTCTCGTCGGAGCCCGGAACCCTCACTGTGCTGGTGGACCTGAGATTGATGATGGATTCGTCCTGGGAGGAGTAGGCGACATCCACAGGGGCCGGAGAAGGCTGGAGATCACGAGACAAGAGCTTGGGTGGCGGAGGGGAATGGTGTGAAGTGGTTAGGTTTTGATTCGGGGAGATGATGGGGACGAATACATGCGGGGTCGGGTCCGACATGGCAGATGTGCCCGGTCGTGTCCGGGCTTTCCCATATCCGTCCCATATTTAGGTTAGATATGAGGGGTGTTGGTCAGTCCGGGGGTTTATGGTGTCATGTTGCGTCGTTTTTTGCCGGTCAGTGACCGGGCCACCCACCCAGACGTATGAGGGGGGTTTGAGACGTCTGACTCTAGATGCTCTTACAGAGTGCTTCATTTCTGCTGCAGGTATCCGGGAACATCAAAACGGTGTTAGGGCATCTGCAACGCCCACATATCGCCTGCAACCATTGAATCGCGCAGCCCGGATGTGTTTTGTCACCGAACACGGCCCTGTGTCCATTCACGGACCAGTCTGAACGTCCTTTTTCCTACGAATTAGAAGTAAATCGGGAAGGCTTTGTGGGAGCCCGGATCGCTGCCTCACAAGCGTCCGATAAATTTGGCATAGCCAACACCCCTCTCCCTCGTCTGCGCGCTTTCTCACCAGAGTGTCAGCTCTACATTCATGCCGGTGCAAAGCGGGTGCGTCCGCTCACTGGAGCCAGCATTGAAGCGGCTCGCCGGCCGAGAGTGTCGCATGTTGCACGCCCGTTGTGCATGCCTTCACTCCACATTGAAATGACATCTGCCTGCCCGCCTACCTCCATTAAACCAGCGTGTGTGTCGAGGAACCTACTCCGACGTCCCGAGCGTGACACGTCTGTTCGTGTATCGGCCGACATTTAACATTTGTCCGGCTTTCGCCTCCCATCCACCCGCTATATAAACGTGGCCACGCACCAGGCAAGAACCACACCTCACCTCCGCTCTCCATCTCGTCCTTGTACCACACCCGCCATGACCTCCGACTCTAAAGTCTTGTGGGATGGCCTCTCCGGCGAGAAGAAGTGTTGGAAATATGTCTTAAATGCAATAATATTATATTATTATATTTCCATGTTTATAGTTAAGAGTTTATTTCTATGCTATAAATGTTATGATCCTGGAATTTGTGATTCAGTGGAAAAATCATATGCACAAGTGGAATAGGTGATTCAGTGGAAAAATCATATGCCAACTTCCCCGTTATCTCGTACACAGGCTGAAGGTGGTCTAGGCAGCATAGCCCACATGGCCATGACGCTGTGTTTCTGACTGAAAGTGCATGAACGAACCCGGGTATATATGAATTCACTTCGGAAAACACATTTCTAAACGTAAAAAAATAAATATGAAAAAGGATACACGGTACGTCTTCATGTTTTATGTGCGTGCATAAAGTTTCATGAAAAAAATAACTTTTTTGTGGTCTATGCAAAAAAGACAAAAAATTATGTCGTGAAAATGCTATTTAGAAGCACTTAAATTTATATTTCTTCGAAGAAAAATGGAAAGACATTTTGTCACAAAACTTTATGCCGCGCACACACATTTATGTACATATATGCGTGAAAATTTCTTTTGCATTTTTTAACATTTTAAAACATACTTAAAATGATTTATTTTTTTGAGAAGTGGGTGCATGTGCCCATGCATGGAGGAGGTGCCCTCTCGTTTTGTGACGTGCATATCTGCAGTTTTGTCACCTAAAAGAAGCTTAGGTCATATGTAAACCCTCCAAATGGACAACATAAATGCCCGAGGACACGTCCTCATCCTTGACAAGATAAGCGAGAGAGTCATCCAACATAATCTCCAAAAGGTTCCCATTTGTCCGTTCGTCCTCTCCATCACCCGGAAGTAAGTTTTTCGTAACAAGTGAAATCTTTTTTTTAAAGAAACTTCTCATTCATCAGTCATTATGTTTACATTTAAAAATGACAATACTAGCTATTTTCATAAGGGAGCTTCAAAGCCAACAGGCTATGCGCTGTTGCGAGCGCCCCATACAAGCAAGGGTGTGGCTCGCTATATTCGCATGTCTGCTGATTTTAGCTAGACTAGTGTTCCTTTCATGAACCAGAATCCTTCTGATCTCATTGACCTGGTTCACATACCTCGAGGGCTCAACATCTTTAGACTGCACCATCTTCAACAACTCAGAGCAGTCCGTCTCCACAACCAATGACAAATTGGACCAGTGGAGCGCAAGTCGAAGCCCTTCGTCCATGGCCGCCATCTCTGCTTCCAAAGGATCACCACAATTAAAGAGCACCCGTGTCGCAGCGAAGATGACCGCTCCTTCATGATCCCGCAGGATCATCCCAGCCCTGGCTGTACCATCCTCTTTCAAGAATCTATATTCAACTTAGCATAATTCACATCAGGGGCCTTCCATTGTGGCATTACTGTTGTTTCATGTGTGTTCTTTGACGTGCTTCCTAGGTAATCGATCACCTACTTACCCTTCGTCACGTCTGCTTCGGAATGTTGTCGTATTGTAAGTAGGGAAGTGATATAAGTCGAGAGGAAACGACGCGAGGCCTCAATCGAGATCGGGGGTTTATAATGTGTGACCTCATTTCTTGCATACCAAATACTTCACATGATCATCAATGAAGCAAGATTATGCACTTCCGGCAATTTATCAAGTAGGCAGAACATGTTGGGGAACGTAGTAATTTCAAAATTTTCCTACGCACATGCAAGATCATGGTGATGCATAGCAACGAGAGGGAAGAGTATCGTCCACGTACCCTCGTAGACCATAAGCGGAAGCGTTATGAGAACGCGGTTGATGTAGTCGAACGTCTTCACGATCCGACCGATCCAAGTACCGAAAACGCACGGCACCTTCGAGTTCAACACACGTTCAGCTCGATGACGTCCCACAAACTCCGATCCAGCAGAGCTTCACGGGAGAGTTCCGTCAGCACGACGGCGCGATGATGGTGATGATGTTGCTACTGATGCAGGGCTTCGCCTAAGCACCGCTACGATATGATCGAGGTGGATTATGGTGGAGGGAGGCACCGCACACAGCTAAGGGATAATTGATCAACTTGTGTGTTCTAGGGTGCCCCTGCCACCGTATATAAAGGAGCAAGGGGGGAGGATGGCTGGTCCTTCTAGGGCGCGCCAGGAGGAGTCCTCCTCCTCCTAGTAGGAGTACTTTCCTACTCCTACTAGGACGAGGAAAGGAAGGGGGAAGGGGAGAAGGAAGGAGAGTGAGGAAAGGAGGAAAGGGGGGTCGGCCCCCTAGTCCAATTCGGTTTGGGCTAGGGGGGCCGCGCGCCCTGCCTCCTCTCTTCCACCACTTGGCCCATGAGGCCCAATACTTCTTCCCCGTATTCCCGTAACACCCTGGTACTCCGAAAAATACCCGAATCACTCGGAACCTTTCCGATGTTCGAATATAGTCGTCCAATATATCGATCTTTACGTCTTGACCATTTCGAGACTCCTCGTCATGTCCCCGATCTCATCCGGGACTCCAAACTACCTTTGGTACATCAAATCACATAAAGTCATAATACCGATCGTCACTGAATGTTAAGCGTGCGGACCCTACGGGTTCAAGAACTATGTAGACATGACCGAGACACGTCTCCGGTCAATAACCAATAGCGGAACCTGGATGTTTATATTGGCTCCTACATATTCTACGAAGATCTTTATCGGTCAAACCGCATAACAACATACATTGTTTCCTTTGTCATCAGTATGTTACTTGCTCGAGATTCGATCGTCGGTATCTCAATACCTAGCTCAATCTCGTTACCGGCAAGTCTCTTTACTCGTTCCGTAATGCATCATCCCGCAACTAACTCATTAGTTGCTTTGCTTGCAAGGCTTATAGTGATGTGCATTACCGAGAGGGCCCAAAGATACCTCTTCGAGAATTGGAGTGACAAATCCTAATCTCGATCTATACCAACTCAATCAGTACCATCGGAGACACATGTAGAGCACCTTTATAATCA